AGTAGTGAGGGAACTTTTTTAGATTTTTTTAAAATGATTTTTAAAAAGTGCTTTTGGGACCAAAATGGCACACTTTGACCCCCATTTTCTCTGGATTTCTACAGTAAAAGTGAATGATATTTTACACAGTGGTAAAGGGCATCCCAGTGAACAAATGTGCAGTGAAAGTAGTCAGGGAACTTTTTTAGTTTTTTTTAAAATTAATTTTAAAAAGTGCTTTTGGGACCAAAATGGCACACTTTGACCCCCATTTTCTCTGGATTTCTACAGTAAAAGTGAATGATATTTTACACAGTGGTAGAGGGCATCCTGGTGAACAAGTGTGCAGTGAAAGTAGTGAGGGAACTTTTTTAGTTTTTTTTAAAATGAATTTTAAAAAGTGCTTTTGGGACCAAAATGGCACACTTTGACCCCCATTTTCTCTGGATTTCTACAGTAAAAGTGAATGATATTTTACACAGTGGTAGAGGGCATCCCAGTGAACAAGTTTCAGTGAAATCAGTCAGGGAACTTTTTTAGATTTTTTTAAAATGATTTTTAAAAAGTGCTTTTGGGACCAAAATGGCACACTTTGACCCCCATTTTCTCTGGATTTCTACAGTAAAAGTGAATGATATTTTACACAGTGGTAAAGGGCATCCCAGTGAACAAATGTGCAGTGAAAGTAGTAAGGGAACTTTTTTAGTTTTTTTAAAATGATTTTTAAAAAGTGCTTTTGGGACCACTTGTGCACACTTTGACCCCCATTTTCTCTGGATTTCCACAGTAAAAGTGAATGATATTTTACACAGTGGTAGAGGGCATCCTGTTGAACAAGTGTGCAGTGAAAGTAGTGAGGGAACTTTTTTAGATTTTTTTAAAATGAATTTTAAAAAGTGCTTTTGGGACCACTTGTGCACACTTTGACCCCCATTTTCTCTGGATTTCTACAGTAAAAGTGAATGATATTTTACACAGTGGTAGAGAGCATCTTATTGAACAAGTGGGCAGTGAAAGTATTCGCAAACCTCTTTTTGTTCTTTTTAAATGATTTTTTAAAAGATAAAGCATTTAGCTTTCTCGTCGTCACGGCTTCCCTTTCCACATTTACCGTAAGTAACAGCATAAAAGAGCCAACCGCATTCAAAGTGCGGACCTCTTTACCGCTCCCGACGAAATGCAGGGCCACTTTACCGCGGTCTGGGAGTTGCCCGTTTTCGTCAGATTGTCGATGTGTGCGGGGCAGCAACTCATATGCGACGGATATAATCAGTTGCCAGTCCGATGTACGCTAAGCTTTAGGAGTAAGAATTTTTAAATCACGTCATAGTTGAAGGGTAAACCACACTACCCGGAGGCATGGGGAGGACATGCAAACTCCACACAGAAAGGTCTGGAAGTGGAGTCGACCATCACAAGAGCTAACCACTGCATCATCCTTTAGTTTGGTTTAACCCGTCATACATCCATGTCCTGCTGGATGAATAGAACTCTTCTTTTTTTCTGTGCATTGCTATTCACCCAATGTCCCTGTGTTTATTTTGTGAACAAACTGATGGGACTCGAAACTCTGGACCCCCACTCCTGGGACCTGACAGGGGCCACCAGCGGTTCTGTGACGCCCACTGAGGAAACTGTTGTGATAATGAGAAACCAAAATTAATTGAATTGAATGTACACAATAATTGAACGGTATATCTGATGATTCTTTCTAAATGTTGTAACTGTAAGCCTTTACTAGAGAGAAAGCCTATTCTTGAGTGTAATGAAGACAGGGTGGCTGGCCTCTCGTCTGCTGGAGTCTGCTCTGATGGGAACAGCATGTGTGCGCAGTATGTGAGCAGGGAAGTGCTCTCCCAGAATAAACTGAGGCTCCAGGGGACACACGCTGAGCGAGAGGTTAGTGATAGACTTTACTGTCTATTCAATTCTTTTTTTCTTTTAAATAGTCCTAAATCACAACAGCAGTCATCTCTTTTATGTAATAAAAACAAACACCTAGGGGGTGTTTGGTCCATGGACAATGTGCTTCTGTGAAAAAATGAATCAACTTATTTGTTCATGTGGAGAATTTCAATTTAAATTTAGTATTGTTTAGCCCTAAAATCACAACAGTGGTTTTCTCGGAGAACTTTACAAAACCCTTGATTCGCCAACACAGATCAGAGAATCAAACGTAACAAATATAATGATAAAAAATACAAAAGGGGAAGATGACCAATGTCCTAAATGTTGATAAAGTCCTCAAAGCAGCAACATGTAAAAATTTGGCCAAAAGTGGTACTGCAACCTCTCCCACTCTCCCTGACTCAGGTTGCCAGATATGCAGATGAATCCAGCTGGGACCATAATATCTGAATAGACAATTGACAAAACAACAATTTTCTTTACCAGTCAGATTTGCTCGATGTGGTAAGTTCTGGCAACCCGGATCACAGACTCTCTGACTGGTGAAATGGCGAAGGGCGGGACATTGAAATGAAAACAAAAACAAGATTTAGGGGCTGTAAATCCAATTTTGAAATTTGAATACTCAGAATGAACTACAATCATAAGTTAATGAAGTGTTTGAAAAAAGCATGGTTTGTGAATGCCTGTTGACATATTAGGGCCCATTTAATGATGAGTTGACATGAAAATCTTGCATACTGGTTCTTTAAATGTGACTGTGAATGTGACTTTCTTGTGGACAGAGTTGTATTTTGGGGGATTTCAATGCATGTGCTTTCTCTCTCAGTTGGAGAAGCCAAGGTCAGAATTTTGTTTTTCAGTTCCCTCCATCAGACATTCAAAGAAGAATAACTGCTGCTTATAATGCTGATCCCGATGAAAGCTGGAGTACTTAACTTCTTTTGGTTTCATAAATACATTTTGTTTGTCTCGATTACAGATTACGATTTATTTATTTTTCGTAACGTTTGATTGCCTTGTGCTGTAGAGTACCAATCTCCTTTATGGAAAACATGGTATAGCTGTCTTGTGCCACCTGTCTGTGTTGTTGTTTATGTATTCTTTGAGTCTGTTTTTTGGTGTCTTTTGTTATTAACGTAAGTCTGAAAAAAGAAATCGTATTTTCCAATAAACGTGAGACTCACACACGTGTTCATTCTGATAGTGGAATGGCGTAAGGGCAGGTTTGTTTACAGTTCTAAATGTGGCCGTGTGTGTAGGGTTTGGACACCACATGTGTTTGGTCACTGGGTGATGTAGAGGAGCAGTTGGCTCTTTTGGCTCCGATAAAGACTCTCTTTAGCCATAATGAACCCTCTCTGCATCTGCTGTGCTCCACTCACGCCCTCCACTGTCCACTGATGCCTACACAGAAAATTATACTGTTTCTTTCCTGTTGCGCTTTTCCCCCTTTTGCTCTGGCTTGGGTTGTGTTGCTCATGTGCGGCTGATCCACACAAACACATGAGCGGTAATTGTGGCCCCTTTATCGACATTCAAACATTTATAGACATTGATCATCTGACCCTTATGGACCAACGTCTATATGTGTTTATTATGATTGTATTTCCTGTTTTTGAACTGTTTGATTCTCTGATCTGTGTTGGCAAATCAACAGCTTCACAACTATTTGTATAATTTGGCAACTTATTGATCAATGTATTTGTTCAATTCCGGCATACGTTCAAAGTGGGAAGAAACAGAGATGTGGTTGGATTAACAATCAAAAATGTACTTTAATTTACAAAAACAAATGCAAGCAGACAGTGGAGACGGAGAGCGGGCTGGCAGGCTTGTGAGTGCTGCATCTATTCAAAGGTGAAGGTAAATAGTGTTCTTGTATTGCTGAACATAATTAAAGATGATTTATGAAACCAAGGTTTTTGGTTTCATAAATTAATACATTTTGTTTTGTTTGAACCGTGACATGCCTTTTTATAATAAGAAAGCACATTAGATCTTGTCCATCAACTCCCACTGATGTCTAATGTTGTTGTGTCCTTGGGCAAGACACTTAACCCCACTTAGGTTGAAGCCCTGCTGACAGATCAAGATGAAGATTCAGAGATCCTTTATTTGTCCCACAGTGGGGAAAGTTGGTGTTGGAAATTTCCCCATCCTGCAGGAGGATCAGTGAAGGGTTGGCAGCTCTGATTGCCACCCCGCGCCCTGCCCTCGCCCCAACCCACCAAATAGACTCAGGGGAAGAAAATGGATGGATGGATGCATTTCGTTTACATACTGACCCTTCATGATTATTCGATATTTGATGTACTTGTATGTATATTTATTTTAAATTTTTATAAAAAAAATCTCCCCTGCGACCCGGTAACGGATGAAGCGGAATAAAATGGATGCATGGATGGATTAAAATCTGTAGCTCTGAGGTTTTGTGGAGATAGATAGATAGATAGATAGATAGATAGATAGATAGATAGATAGATACTTAATTGATCCCTCGTTGGAGACATTCAGGTGTCCAGCAGGGGAAAGATATTCCTACAAACAAAATACATAAATAAATACATAATGTAAACCGTAATATAAAACATATTATTTTATTAAATTATCATTATGATTATGATGATGATGATTATTATTATTATTACTATTATTTTTATTATTATTGTGGTTGCTGTTGTTCTTACTGAGAGCTGATTGGCTGAGTGACGGCTGGTACTATCTTTCACAGAAAAAAAAAATCTGAAGTATTTGCGTGATGTGGCACTGATCTCTGTGAATCATTGAAACATACGGATCCATGCGTGTGTCTCCCATCGGAATGTTGGCAAGACAGCCCCATGTTGGTTGTGTCACTCTCTCCTCCTTCATCCTGGTCCAGCCTCCTCTCTCTCCCTCTCTCTCTCGCAGCACTTCACAGCCTTGCCACTTTTACGCACGCAGCCACCGGAGCGAGAGGTGTGCGTGTGTATGTGGACCAAGTTCTTGTTGCGCTTCTTACATAATTATAGACCTCACAAAACAAGGATAACGCCCGGATAACTTCCTCTTCGTCCCATAGTCTGCTTTCAGCTGTACTTTTTGTTAAAGAAACCTTCGAATGGGAGAGCATGATCCCACCGGAGAGCATGATACAGGACGAGAGCGGGGACAAGGAGGAGGACAGGGACCAGGGCGAGTCTCCCAAATCACCCGGTGCTGGGAGCCAACAGGAGACGAAGGTAGCCGCGCTTGTCTTGTCTCTTATCTGGCAACTTTTACAACTCGACTTTTACTCCCGTCTGTGAGATCTATGGATGACATTTGTTGGAAAAGGTCGCGGCGTAAACACAGACATAGAGCTAAACGAGTCCCACTGGAGATGCGTGGAGTAGGAGTATTTGGCTAATAATAGAGCTACAATTCTAAAACAATCACAAATCATGTCAAGGCAAATATTAAGTGCCCCGTTTCCACCAGCTCTGCTCGATTCGGCTCTACTTGTCTCTTGTCTCTATTTGGCTCTACTCCATTCTACTCCATTCGGCTCTACTCTACTCTACTCTACTATACTCTACTCTACTCTACTCTATTCGGCTCTACTCTACTCTACTCTATTCGGCTCTACTCGGCTCTACTCTACTCTACTTTACTCTATTCGGCTCGACTTTACCCTGATTGGGAGAGTTTCCATTGGCCCTGTTTAACCGGTAACAGGTACCTTTGTAGTATCTGCTTGGCCCTGATTGGCCAAGCTGGTACTAAAGTGTTCTAACTGACAGTGATTGGCCGGTGTGCTGCTGGTAGCCATGGTAACCAAGGATTTTACGCAGATTTTATGGGTAGGCTTGCAAGGATACGGTACCACATAGAAAACTGTAATGGACATGCAACCAGGTAGAGGAGAGTGGAGTCGGGCTGAGCAGGGCTGGTGGAAACAGGGCTTATGATAAGAATACACAAAGATATAACTTATAAAATAGTCAGTACAGGTGCATTACTTCAACACATTCTCCTTTAAGCGGGGTTTACTTTACAAAGTTGTGGATTTGATCCGAGAATCAAACAGTTTGAACCTATAGAAAATGCAATAATAACAAACACATCCACTGGTCATCCACTTCCTAGGAACCAGTGGCACATAGGAAGTGGATGACCAATGACCATAAATATCAATAAATGTCAGCAACAGCAAAAAACATCTCAAAAACCCATTGGGAAAAAGTGAGGGTGGGATCTGCTCCCACGGATGGACGGGCCAAAGATCCAGGACTTGGGCTGTACAACAAAAACCAAGGCCTTATCTGGTCGATAAAGAAGTGTTAAGGTCACTATGGCTGTGTATGTAGTAAAAAAGCATATTTTAATGTTTACTGTAACTACAAACATGTGTCGCTCTCCCTCAGACCACAGTCACTGCACCTGCCCTTACCGTCTGCGAGGGTCACACATCCACACGTGTACAGCAGCAGTATTACAGTGATAGTTGTAACATATGCCTGTCCCATCCCAGACTGATGCAGAAGGACAGATGAGTACTTTATCTTGTGACGTTCAAGGCATTGGCTCTCCTTCAGCAGTGAGCGTGCTTTACATTCTCCCGCTGTCCTAAATTGGCAGCAAGCTTTTAGATTAATGTCTAACATTATTTTCAGCAGTTCTTTACTGGGAAAAACCAGTTTGCTTGTCAGACCTGACTGTTTAATATGCCTTCTCATTGTTAAATAAAAACTTGGACGTGTAACATGTGGTCAGGCTCACACCACTTTTTTTTCTTTTTTCTTTTTAAAAATGTATTTTAAATTTTGTACATGTTATTACATATGTTTGCTTGTTCTGATCAAAATCTTACCATTCCATACAGTTTCTCAGTTCTGTGATTGTCATAAAATAATACTTCTGATATCCAACAATTTTGTTTCCAAGAAATAATGATAATAAAGTAGCCACACACATCCGTTCTTCTGACTCTCTCGATATACAGTATACAGACCAGAAGACTTTTTAAAATTTTCTTTATTTTCATGATTATGAAAATTGTAGATTCACACTTAAGGCATCAAAACTATGAATGTGGAATTATGTATGTACTAAAAAAAATAAGTATGAAACAATTTAAAACATGTCTTATAATCTAGGTTCTTCAAAGTAGCCACCTTGTGCTTTGATTACTGCTTTGCATACTCTTGGCATTCTCTTGATGAGCTACACGATGTAGTGACCTGAAATGGTCTTCCAACAGTCTTGAAGGAGTTCCCAGAGATGCTCAGCACTTGTTGGCCCTTTCGGCTTCACTCTGTGGTCCAGCTCACCCCAAAACCATCTGGATTGGGTTCAGCCTGGGTGTGAATCTACAGGCAATAGTCATGAAAAGAAAGAAAACTCATTGAATGAGAGAGTGTGCTCAAACTTTTGGTCTGTACTGTTTACCTCTCTCTTTCTAGATATATGTAAATCTATCTATCTATATAGATATAGCTCTACTCTCTTTCTCGCACCCACACACCCACACACACACACACACAATAGGCAGAGGTCTCCCATCACAGGTCCAACCAGGCCCTTCCCCGCTTGGCCTCAGAGTTCTGACAGGACCAGTCTTTCACATGCAGGTGGCACCACAAATAACCATAGTTTTGTTGTTTTAAATAGTTCTTCTGCTCTGTTCCCTTTTTAAAGACTTTGAGGCGAGAGGAGAAGCGAAAGGTGAGGCTCCACTCTGTAGGGAATAACAAACAGCCCCGGTCCATCCTGCATGGGACCGAAAAGTTGTTTTGTCACAACTTTTGACTTTTTTAGCATTGAATCAGCTTTCATTCAGGGGTGTTTTGTACTGTACATTCAATAGTACTTGTGATTGGAAGTATACTACCATCAGTGTTCATCCCATGTGTGACTAACGTGCCTGGCTTTTGACAGCTAGTGCCGCTCATATGTGGACAGTTACAGAGGCTTCAGATGCATGCAACACTCCACGCTCTCCTGTTCCAACTCCTCGAAGCAGAGAGCGTACGCGTGTGAGGTCATTTACGATCATCAAACACAGACTAACAGTGTCAGTTAGTGAGGCCCTTTGGAAATGTGTGAGTGGGAATGTGCGGCTGTGTGTGTGGTAATGGAGGGACACCAATCAATGCTCTTCTGGGTGACCTGCAGAGCTGATTGATTGTGACCATAATGCTCTGAGGCTGAAGCCAAAAGCGCCGAACGGTCAGCTCAGACACTCCCCGCGCTTTTGGTTGTTATCACACAGTATATGTTGGAGTTTCGACAATAAGAATATTCTAAGTGCTGGAAAGCGGTGGAAATTGGCCAAATGTGATGATTACGATATTTACGATATTTGGGGCACAATTCAATATTATTAACATATTGCGATACAGCAAGTTGTACGATTAAATTCTGCAATAGATCGCGATTAATGTGCCACATGTTATTCAAAGGCTTTACAAACATTGAGGAATACGTATAAGACTCAACTCAAATGTCATATTTATTATTGTCTGCAATCTAACTGAAGTGCAACAACTTAAGTTGTGAAAAAACTTTATTCTTGAACATTCAGGACACAGGACAAGACATCATTATTCTCTGAATCGGCGACCTCTCAAATGAATGGTGAGCTCCCAGCACATACCATAAATTATTCAAATATAATAGACTAGAGTAATAAATAGAGTAACATAAACCTCAGATCGAAACTAAAAAGTTAAACAGATAATACTTTACTCTACTGTTAAATATCACCATACTGAACCAGAATCAATTTTTTCCCCCACTGGATCAAAACGAGCGCTGCTTTAAAACAGATATTCTACAGACATAGAATGGGAATGAACAGTGTCGCACTTTGTAAACGTCCAAATGACTTTTTGTGATGAAGTGTAAACATTCTCACTCAGAATGTGTCTGTTACTGAAACACAGACATCTGTATCTGTTTACTCCAAGGGTGTCCAAACCTATTAGTAAGAGGGCCACTTTAGTTCACCAGACAACATGGATTTTAAAACTGTTCTGAGTGGATTCAGGCTGTTCTTAGCTCACCTTTGACAGAACTGAAGTTTACAAGTGTTAACATTCTGCCACAGCTGCCATTAGCACCATATATGGATTTCTGTGACACAATCAAAAACAAAGATCTGTATACACAAATAAAGTAAACAGCTGGATTCCAGAGGTTCTGAGCTTTGCAAAGTATAACATGCCTTTTGGTTAGAGCTGAAGTTGGCTGGATGACATTGTGAACTTGTGTTTATGATCGGAAAAACTACTTTAAGTTAGTAATGTACTGTAGAGTGCCACATAAGATTCCACAGAGGGCCATATTTGGTCCATGGGCCTTAGTTTGGACATGCCTGGTTCACTCCAGACAAAGCACAGATTTAAATGTCTTTACTCTTCATTCGCTTCAGATGTACCGGACGTAACAAAATCCATGTATTTTTGTCAAACACTATATATGTATCCTTAGCTGTAAACTATTTCTTCCTTGGAGGGTTATGGACTACAGGAAGAATAATAATGCATCAGTTTTTATACAGTGCTTTTCTGGACACTCACATGTCATTACTCTTTCACTCCATACACGGTGGTGATAAACTACTACAGAAGTGAGGCAACCACTGTGCCATCAGTCCCTACCACCCCCACCAACCATTCACAACCAAACTAGACTCATTTTAGGCAATATGGGTGAAGTATTGCCAAAGGACACAACAACAGTTTGGCACTTTACAGCCATAGCCACCTGGTGTTCCCAGAGGTCTCCCATCACAGAACTAACCAGGCCCTGCCCTGAAGTTCTAATCACTCACTCATTCATCCACATTCACTCCTGCAAGACCCCTCAGGCTAGCACTATGACGTGTTTAAATGTACTTGGTTTTCCTAATTGTATTTTCCCCCAGCTGCAGAGGCTAAAGCGCTCGCTGTCCTTCAAAACCAAGAGCATCCGCAGCAAAAGTGCAGACAACTTCTTCCGAAACAGCAGTGAGAACAAGACGGAGCTGCTGTCGGATGTGAGCAGCAGCACTGGGCACTTGTGTACTATCGGCATGGCCCCCCCAGCCATCCCCTCCGCCCCCCCGGCCATCCCCTCTGCGCCTCCCCCCACCTCCCGACCTCAGGCCCGCAACCCGCTGCACGACTCGGCGGGACACTGCTTCATGGAGCACATCTTTAAGAAGCCCACCTTCTGTGATGTCTGCAACCACATGATCGTAGGTACGCCCCACCAGCACCGAGCCCAACACTCTGGAATCTGTCAAAGTCTTTGTTTCACTCTTTTTAGGGTGTAAGTTGAATTATAGAAGTATATAGACGATATTCTTATCTTCGACCCTATTGCCACTGTCTTGAATGAGCTTTCTGTAGAGCTGTAAGCAAAAGAAAGTTAGTGATACATTGATTGTACAAAAAATGCAACGATGACAAGATTCCATGGTCACCTGCGAGCGACCGTAGATTTATTTCTATTGTCTGTCCCCATGGAGATTGTCGGACGCTAACTGTTTATTTTTGGGGTCCTTGACAGAAAATCCCCCAGGTCGACTCGGAGACGCAGATTTTAATTCTGTCAAATCTTTCTGTGTTTAGTATATTTCAGCCTCGTGTTCACATCAGTCATTCTGATCTTTTACCTGACCTACTGTACCACAGGTTTCTGTTGTCACAAATCCACTGAGGGGAAGTGAAGAGAAGGTCGTGCTGGTTACAACCACAGATCTATTATTCACTACTTTATACCGCTTTATTTTAGAGATGGTGGAAAAAACACCTCAGCGTTATTTTCAGGCTCGTTTTAGTTCAAGGGGCTGGAATTAAAAAAAGATGAGTCAGGGGCCAAGATCGTTTCATTATTAGAAAGTTTGTTTAAAGCTTCTGTGGTTATTTTATTTAAATGAAAGGATGCAGTTGTTTGTTTGAGAAATGTAGCCTCCAAATGAAGTAGAACAGGCTATGTTAGCCCATATTAACTTGGGCAATATGGAGAAAAAAATATATATCAATATACAATATATATCTTGATATTTTAACAGAATAAATAACTCTCTAAAAAGTACTACAAAAACAAATATGCCAATTCCCAAAGACCTTTTATTGAACCTCAAAGAGGGAATCAGTTCAAGTTAGAACAAAGTGCTTATGTCACATTTGTTATAATTTCCTGTTTACCAAAATTATCATTTAACTGTAAAATAAATTAAGAAATGAAATGTTGCCATCTCTTAATTTAAACATAAAATTACTCAACTCAAGGCAGTGCATATAGGAACAAAGTACCTCTGCAACATTTAAGATAAAAAAAAAAATCCTTGATGAAATTATTTATAATAATGATTATAATTATAATTATAAAAATAATATAATGTAATTGTAAGTGACCTGTTCCAATTCAGTGACGAGCGGCTCTCTCTCTCTGTAAGTGCACAGCAGTAGGAGTTCTTGTATCACAGTAATGCCTTGACTCAGAAATCTGTATCTGTTTTGTTCTTAGCTGCGTATAAAGTTTGCAGTCTCTGGTATAAAGCCACATTTTTCAATGACGACGAAAGGTGCAGTGTCGACGCTGTATGAAATACAACGGACTCTCACCTGCACACCTGTCATCTTCTACACTTTTTTAAAACACGTTTTTTTTCCTCAGAGCATTCCGCAATCCGAGGAATGTGGAATATCGACATACACGACATATTGAGCTTAAAGAATATCTCGATATACAGTGTATCGTAAATATTGATTTATCACCCAACCCTACTCCTAGTTTTAAATATATTGAATATCATTTCGACTGTAGACGATTTGGATTGACCGAGTATTGACGCCATCTTTATTGCTGATTGGATCTAACAGGCTATTTGAGCAGGATTTTTGAGCCAAATGTATACAAATTACTGTAGTTTGATAGCCACACCAGTTACCAAGCACCAATCAGACGGATTTGATTCAAATCCGTCCATGCTCACATTACTCGCTAGCTAAAGAATTTGTCAATTGTTATGGCTCATATCTGGATAAACTGATCATCTATATGCAGTCTATGGGACAGGAGTGGACAGTGGGACAGGTGGGGTCTGGGACGGTCACAGCTGCTGTTGGAGAAAGTGTCTCTGTGATGAGCCAGAACTCTGCTTACAGGTCAGAGATCAGCTCAGAGGAAGCACACTGACCAACAGATACACATGAGGATCACACAATTCAGTGGACTTGGTTAAAAATTGTAGACTTTGTCAAAAACAACCATATAGAAATTCCTTAACATTAAATGTTGAAAGGGCTTTTACTTGACTCAAAAGCCCTGAAGATTATCTGACGAAACTGTTCTTAGACCCTCCACAGTGTTTTTTATTGTTGCATTTCCTGTGTTTGAACTGTTTGTATCTTTGATCTGTGTTGGCGAATCAACAGCTTTATAAAGTCCTTAGAGATAACTATTGTTGTGATTTAGGGCTATACAAAAATATGTTGAATTCAATCAATAATTAAAGACCATGTAGAGCGTTAATTTGTTGGTGGATAACCTTTTCAATCTACTGGCTTTACTTCACTGTTTTTCAGTAGTATTCGAATCTGTCTTCCTACTGTGCACCGTCTTTTGAGGACTCATTTTGCCAACATCAATAATGAAGAATTAACACATACACGCTGTAAACACGCAGCACAGCATGTACATATCAGATGCTAACGTCGTCAGACAGACTGGAAATTAAACACCCACCAGCTTTAGATGGCACTCATTTGTTCTACAGATGCAGCCTCTAATTTATACTAATAGATTGAGGAAATTACATTATTGTGCTTACGTAGTCACTCATCATGCCTCCAGGATGAAGATCAAGACCGATCTAATGTGGGCCCGTCTCACAGTCACATGTAGCATTTCAGCGGACGCCTGAGCAGACCAAGGATCCCCTCAGATATTCTACCTGAGAGATTTATCAAACTAATTGTAGTTTGTTGTTAGAGAGAAAATACTTGTTTAATTCACAAGGGTATTATTCCAAAACAGTAGCTCCATAAAATAATATAAAACATATTCAAAACACTTTTTTTTTAAAAACATAAAAAGCAGAACACCAATCATGTATATATCCAAAATAAGATTATGCCCAATTATATAGTCAGTACAGGTGGTAGTATATAGTAAAGAAAACATAGAAATGCAATGAAAAACTCGTATTTGTTTATGATTCAATTCAATTTATTTTTGTACAGCCCTAAATCACAACAGCAGTCGTCTCAAATTTACAAAGTTGTCAAATCAAACACAAGAAATGCAATAATAACAACACATAGGAGCCATTGGTCCATAGGGGGAGAATGACCAATATCATTAAGTATCTATAAATGTCCCAGATCATCTTTGTGAATGTGGTATTCTTTGTTGAATCCTGGTTGGATTGTCTCTGGAAACTCAGTTTGGAAACTTCTCACATAGCTGTAATTAGAGTTCAGTCATCAGGATTTCATGGAGAACCTCAAGTACGGTCTTATCTCTGGGGTCATCTCTGTCCCTGCTTCAAACAACAGATCACATGTCTGTTTCCGTCTCAACCTTCACCCTGACTGTTACCGGAAACTTTAAACACGTCCACAACTGCTGTTTTTGCTAATAAGTAAAGGTTACTTATTTAACTACACATGCAGAAGACATGGCCGGTAATGTTCTGAGGAAGAAAGGAAGAAAAACAAAAGTGTAGCACTTGAGGATGACTGTTGAAAAATGACAGAGACTTGTAGACGGGATCTTAAACCAAAAGGCCAGTGGACCTTTATTTCAGTTTCCAGTTTTTCAAACAAAATGCAGATAGAGCAAGCATTTTACTGTATATGACAATTTGCGTCCCAACAAAGACTCCAATCCACAGGTGTAAGCTAGTCCAAACAAGAAGAAGAAGGTCCTTTATTTGTCCCACAGTGGGGAAATTTCAGTTGGATGATCAATACACATACACTTCAAGCCATGCAGCAAATATTACTTCCGCGCTCCTTATAGGCAGTGTCGATGGAGTCAGTGGAGAAGGTCTCGCGGTGGGCTCGAACCCACGACCTTCAGGTTCAAAAGCCAATGCTCCACCAACTGAGCCCCTGAATCACTGTGACCTTAAAGACCTGATTATTATGTTTTGTGTTTGTCCATTTTGTGAAGGCCAGATCTCGCATGACTTCAGCTGAAAGATGTTGGTTTCAGAACTGTAACAGGTTAATTAACTATTGCTCCATAGGGTTAGAGGAATGACCAGTGTCCATAAATGTCCCGGAACACCACTGTCCTTAGACTAATGTAATGTGAGTTTGTGTTGAAACATTGAGGATCTTACCGTTGTTCCCTGCTTTCACCGCCCCTGGAGTAGATCGATGGCCCCTGTGCGTGCAGTCAGTGGTCAGGGGATGGGGCTGGAGCTGGGGCTGGAGCTGGGGCTGGAGCTGGGGCCGGAGCATGTGCTTATTGATGGATGTAGCACATTGATGGGGCACAGCTGCCAGACTGCGGCTAATAACCTCGCCGCGATGGCTCTGAGTGTTCACTCCTGTTAATGCACAATGGCCACCAGATTGTGCGATACTTGATGGCTGTCCATGGCTTTGCAAAATTGCCATAAAAAAATCATTATCGTGTCTAAGCCTCTAGGGTGTCAGAGTGGTTCCAAAAAGGACTGGTGTGTGCGGGCCTCTTGTTGCAGAGTAGCAGTGGGTCTACTCCGAGCTCCTCTCCGTCACCATATTTAGGGCCCAAATATACTGCCCACATCTCTGTTTTGGCAGGGTGGCCTCAGCCGAGTTTGGCTCTTTATAAAGCTCTACAGTAGAAATAATGTCATCAGGCTTTTATATCAGTTCTGTGTGACTGCTCAGGGCCAAAGCCAGGATTTCCAAAGTCAATTTGAAAGCACAACTGAACTGTATTTAAGAGCCTGGATTACTTTATAGAGGATACAGTATGTGGTGGTTGTGGTGACTGCTCAATTACTGCTTTATTAACCTGTGTCTGTGTATTTTCAATAAAAAAAAGACCCTCCATGTGTTGACGTTGTTGAATAAAAAATAGGATTGATTCTATTTTGTATGTCTGCGTCTGTCTCTGGACGGACTGCAGTACACAAAGCGCACAACCTATACATGGCCAGGAAACCGAGAGCTGTTGCGGCTGTGCGTTGGACAGACATAAGCAGAGATAGAGAAATTCACCATCAAAAATGATTTATTTCACACAAAAAAACTAAATAGAAACGCAAGAAGGCATCGGAGAAAGGGAGCTAGCTGGAAATACGGGTCTGAACATAGGACACAAAAAACTACCAAAAATGCAAAAATGCTGTTGACCGAGTGCATGATCTTTGACAGATAAGTAGAGTCTGAACCAGAGCTTTAAAGGTACTCTGTGTATTTTTTTTACAGTTGCTCCAAATGAATAAAAATTTTTTTTAATCAATAACAAATTTGACCTTTTTAAGAATATTTACCTCTGCCATGTTTTTGAAAAGTCGTCATAGACTTAGAAGTGGTGGTTTTCAGTGGTTGATAAGGGTCAAAAAGGAGTTTGACCTGTAGTTGGGGACCACTGTCAAAAACGACATAGTGTCCTGCGAAGTTACCGTAGTACCCTACCGATAACAATATACTGTATTTCATTTCATTTCATTTCATTTATTTCAAACCTGCAGGTGTATACAAACAGGAAAAACAAAATACAAGGTCTGCTTGGTTTGAAAGGGGGATGATGGAAGCTTACGCTTATTCAAAACCACCCCCCCACACACTCCACTTGCAGACAAATCATTTACACAAATAATTACAACACAACACAACAAACACACAGGCCCAATACTCACCAACCCCACACCCCTCTCCTACTATCACAATTATGATCTCAATGCTAGATGAGAGTAAAAACTACACAGTGTACGTTTAAGGATTGGTCGAGGATTGAATCTGATGCAGGTGTGAATGCCTCGGCAGCAGATAAGATCCTGTCACAAACATAACCCTGTCACAAACATGCTCTGAAAAACAGAAAGGGGGGAGGCAGAGCACAAATAATACAGCAATCAGAGACCTTTGTGTTTTCGACTACTTCTTCCACATTCATACATAGAATTTCCCCAGTTATTTGGTGTTTTAGTATGATTTTAAAATACCATTACTGCCGTGACTAAAGTGATCGTGTACGCAGGTACCACGGCCAAACACGTGGTGTTTTTGGCGGGAAACACGGCGAAGCACGGCCTGCGCTGCAAAGCCTGTAAGATGAGCCTGCACCACAAATGTGAGAATGGCGTGGGCCAACAGCGCTGCATGGGAAAACTGGTGAGTACTGCTGAACTAAACCACTACACTGACCCGAAGGCTGCAGGATATCGTAACCAAACCAAAACCGAACACATGCCGTTAAAAAGAATTGCATCAAACATCAAAAAATATTAATCAAAGTATTTGGTTGTATTTTTAATCAAACAAACCAATGTGCATCTCTATGAGGATGTTCTCCAGGACCATAATTTTTTGTCGGTCAAATGTAGCAAGAATCCCATATACATTAATCTAAACTAAAATTGGCAAGGCAAATTTATTTGTATAACACAGTTCATCCACAAGGCAACTCAAAGTTCTTAACAAAATAAAGAAAATAAACATTAAAACTGAAAATCGAAAGATCAACACTATGCCATAGAGCGGCCATCCACCTGCAGGAGGATCAGTGAGGGGCTGGTGCTCTGTGGACTGGGTGGCATCTCTGGCCACTCACCCGACGCAGAAATGGATAAGGGGTAGAAAATGGATGGATGGATGGACATTAAAACCACACAAGGCATTGAAATCATAAATGAAGCTTTCTATGTGGCGTGGGAGACAAATGCCCACAATTGTAAAGCGCTTTTGACTGGTCTGTGAAAGGCGCTATATGAATAAAGAATACTTACTTACCTACTTAGAAGTATTCTAACCTGGATTTGAACGTGGTCAGAGTGGAAGCATATCTCACATTTTCAAGTAGACTGCAGATTTTAGTAGCAAATCTGAAATGCTGCCTCCCCGTGTTTAGTCCTGACTCTGGGCACCAGCAGGAAGCCAGTCCCTGTGCTCCTCGTGGCCGCAGTAGGAGGCCAGTCCCTGTGCTCCTCAAGATTCATATGTCACGAATGTCCTTTGGTGCGAGGCCTAATCAGTTATGTGTTAATTTCCGCCCTAAATTAAAGCCTAAAAGGTGGCTTAATATTATTTTAAGATTAAATGGATGGATAACATTTCATTTTTGTAGCGAAATCTGTAAATGCATGACAGCGGGATAACTGGACAAAAGTGTGTTTTTTCCTGGATGCAAAATCGTGAATATCTGCTGAAAGAAATACTGCTCATCAAACTGGCGGTGCAGAGTTGGCCGTGTGATGTGCTTGTTCAGAAATCACACTTCCTCGTCGTCTCGCTTATATCATCACTGCCTGTGGGTTAGATAATCCAGCTGGAATGACCTGTTCTTCACAACTGTGGAGTAGGACTGCTGTGTATTAGGACCACAGCCTCCGTGTCCTCGTAAGCCCCGTTATGCCGACACACACTTTGGCAGGTGCGGCACACATTTGCATAAGGACACTTTGAAGGGTATTCTGATGTATTGATTGTTCGGCACATTTTGTCCTGTCCAAAGCATCTCCACCTGGACTGATCGAGTGCTGAGGTCACCATTGTGTTTACTAAATACGGAAGAGACTGATTTGATCGTAAGCTAGCTGGAGTCAATCTGCTTACATTTGTTCTGTTTAGCTAGTCTGTGGTTAACGTGGTTAGAAGGGCAAGCAGGAGTTTCCCCAGTAAAGGAATAACACATTGGTTTTATATAGCGCTTTTTTGGACACTCATAGACACTCCATACATGGTGGTGATAAACTACTACTGTAGCCGCAGCTGCCCTGGGGCACACTGACAGAAGCGAGGCAACCAGTATGTTCCATCGGCCCCTTCAATCACCATAAAACCATTCACACTCACACCAGACTCATTCTACGCCAGAGGTGTCCAAACTGGTCCAGAAAGGGCTGCTGTGGCTGCAGGTTTTCCATCAGACCCAGCAAGAGCAGTGCAGACTCCGCCCATTTCCTCAAGTGAGTTCAGTCTTGGGTGGAGTCTACTCTGCTCCTGCTGGGTCTGATAGAAAACCTGCTGCCACAGCGGCCCTTTCTGGACTGGTTTGGACACCTCTGTTCTAGGCAATGTGAGTGAAGTGTCTTGCCTAAGGACACAATGACATTTTGGCACTTTACGGCCGCATCCGCCCCACTGTGGCACCTGGTGTTCCCAGAAGTCTCCCATCACAGCAGTAACCAGGCCCTGTCCTTCTTAGCTTCAGAGGCCTGGCAGATCTGGATTTCACATGCAGGTATGGCCACAAGCATGGCCTTAGCATATGAGATTTTCCGATAAACCTCAATGTCAACAAAAACGGCTCATCCTCAGCCTACAGCTCCCTCCAGAATTTAGCTCTCGTCCCGCTCTAGCTCCGCTCTGATCTGTGGCATGCTAATTGATCAGAATGCTCATATGTTACTCTGGTCCTGCAGAAGTAGAACCACTGTGCCCCTTCTGGGTAAAACTAGGAGAAACAGAGCTGGCCAAAATGTGTTACTTCCGCTAATATTTTGTCCTCCTTGATTGAGTGACCCAATGCCCCATGACCCATTGGGTCACCCATGCCCGGGTGACCCAAGACATCTTGGGTCACCCGGGCATGGCTGGCATTAGAATTGTCCGTTCATAGACAGTCTAGAATGTTTTCCTCTCCAAAAGGCATCTATAAAGCATTTTTACCTGGGGATGAAATATGAAAGAGACCCAGACTGAGCAGATATTCTGTCTAACGAAGCAGTGGGCATTCATCAACCAGTTTCGACACAACCTAAATCAATACTCTATTATTTTCTTTTAGATTCCTCCTCGTTCATCCAAAATTCTGACAGCAGAGATTAGGGATGACTGAATGAAGATTAAGTGGCGCTTTTTCACAATTAAAGTCACCTATAATAACTTTAAATACATCACTGGACCTTCACCGTTTGTTTACACACAATTTAATCCAGTGTTGAAGATTGCACACTGGGGTTGCTCATCAGCCTTATTACTTATTAATTTGACACCTTTAATGAAGAGGGCACTAAAATAACCATTCCCTGAGCTCAAACAGTGAGGTGTGAAGTCATTAATAGAAAACATGCGTTTGCTTCAACATCTCCCACCATGCACTGGACCCCCAGCTGGCTGCGTACGTCATGAATGCTTTTCCACAGACTTCAATATATGTATGAAAGATCAGGCTCACGCAGAGACAGTCCACCCTGACAAATCGATACAAAAAATACATTAAGATGTGAAAATGATCAATAACCATACATAAATTATACTACTATAAGTACATTTTGTGCTTAAATTTCAGCTGAAGGTCAGATTACTATTTAAAGAAGAAATATTATGCCACTTTTTGTCTATTAAACCCTTGTGCTATCCTTGTATCAAAACGACCCTCCACAGTGATTAAAAGTACCCTAAATTGGAGTCTAAATAGGTCTAAATTACCCAGGGCTGGTCAAGTCAGGGAAAATCATCAAGATCCAGCTTGGGAAAAAAAGGATGTAGGGTATTTAGAATGTTAAATATTTTCAGCATTATAAAATGTACGGTGAAAAAGGTCCATGGGCCGATTCTCTACCAACTGAGCCACTGTCGCCCACTAAACTTATTTATTTAATTTGGAGAGAAAAAGTTTAATTGAAGAAATATCTGGAAGAAAGAGAGTGATGCCTTTAGCAGGGAGCAAGTAGTGGGAGAGAGGTGTAGGGTCGGAGAGTGTTTGGGGCTGTGTGTTGTCTGTCTTATACCACAGGTGGTAGTATTAGCTACCACCTGTGGTATAAGACAGCCAAAATTAGGTTGTAGCTATATCCGGTCTGAACAATACATTTATTGTGCAATGTCCCTGTCAAATAAACAAATAAATAAAAAATACAAAAATAAATTGTATTAGTATTTGTACTGTTAAAGAATTCTATTGCATAATATCACTACAACAGTGATTGGGGTTGGATAAAATAATATTATATTGATATTTGTTGAATATTTGAGACATTTGCACAGTTTGATTAAATTATGGTGATTTTGTATTCTGTAATGTAATCTACTTAGTTTTTTTTAATCAGTTTTTAGCTATTTGGTGTTGTGTTTTTGTAAAATTCTAAAAACACATGGATTTCTAAATGATTATTACCACATGGATGTGACAGGAGAGGCTGCCCGGTCTTTACAAAACCACACGTGGCCTTTTAATCCAGCAGTTGCACCCTTTGTCCTGAAGCATTCCATGTATGATGAAACTTTATAACTAAGCTTTAAGCTTTGCTGAAGTCGCCGTCGCCAACAAAAACAATCATGGCCGTGGTCCGCGTCCAACTTTAGGATCAGATTGATGTGGAGCTGTAGTCCACTGAGGAAACGCTCTTTTTATGCTCGACCTCTCAACCTCATTTTCCACTCCCAGGAGCCGGAAAGCCATCGCCAGTCTCCTCCCTCACAACCCGGGGCATAGAGAAGGCCCAGCGAGTGGTCAGAGGGTGCGGTTACACTCTGGCCCTCCTGTAAAAATTACCAAGACTTGTAGCGTTGATTGTTTCTTGGCCTGAACTTTGGTGATTTCTTTACTACAACTATTGGTCCAGTGGTGTGCGGTGATGTCCCACGTCAATCCAACCCACAAGAGTCCCGTTATTTTCTCTCTGTGTTTGGCTGAGATCATAAAATGTGACGAAGTGACAAAATTTCACCGGTTACAGAACAGTACGAATGAGGAGCACACAATGCAAGATAAATGAACAATAACTCTGTACGAAAATACAACACAATCTATAGCTTTAGTTTAATAAGGAAGCAAATGTAAAATGTCCAACTTCAGCATAATGAGGAAGCAAGAATTAAGTATAAAATCTCTGGCTTATGTGTTATTGTGGTTCAGTGTTTTCCAACCTGAGCACAACTTCCAACCTGCAACACAGAAATTTCCCAAATATGGAAGGAATAAAAGGTCTCTTAAACTTAAACATAGACAAGGCTTGAGCAACGGCTGTTGTTCAGGGAAAAGAAATGACTCACATTCCCCAGGGGTCAAACTCAAATGTTTTTAGGCTTTACTGTTTTACCAAGATCTCTATCATTTTTTTTTTTTTGCAACTGATTTTTTTATTTCGATTTTATTTTTACATTAAATAGGCCTTTTGACCTAGCTTTTTGCTTTTACTTAACCTGGCATTTAGATTTTTCTCCTCAAACTTAGATGGAAAAAAAAACTGGGCCAAACATATGAAAAGCTTGTTTTTGCCTTTATTGCTTCATGGAACATTATTATTACTTGTGTTCTGGGTTCAATGTTTGGAATAAAATTTATAATACGCTTGTTTATTGTAAAAATTTGCTTTAAATGACATCAACATATTGTAAATGTGTCCCCAGATAACGGGTCCCATGCCCCAATTTGACTTTGAGTGAATGTGTGCGATAACATGCAGAAGCTGAGGATGGACCACGTTGAAAATATGTGTCTGTATGTCGGATGATCATTTCTCTTTCTTTGTCCTCAGCCAAAAGGTTTCCGAAGGTACTACAGCTCTCCTCTATTGATCCAGGAGCAGTACGGGTGCATCAAAGAAGTCATGCCCATCGGTAAAAACACTCCTTTGTTTTTGTAGTTTAATAGTTAAATTATGTTGAAACTAACCCTAACCCATTAAAGGATAGTTAACAATCTTTATAAAAATACCCAATTTTTAGATTTAGATTTTGTTTCTTTTTAAAACGTGAGGTTTGAAAAGTAATCATAGAGCACGAGTTTTAGACTCTTTCCTGTTGTTGCTGAAGAAAAGCTGCCCCATAGCATGACGCTGCCACCCCCATACTTGACACAGTGGACTTTCAGTAAAAAAATTAAAAAACCACAACAAAAGTGGTTTTAAACTTTACAGAATGTGCCAAAGTTCAAGTTGAGTATGTAAAACCTCTTCATGTCATATTATAGTATTTTTATGGTTGCGATATAAGGTGATATGAAATTGTGACTCAGATTGAATTGTTAATCCTCCTGTGGACTCACCACCTGCAGAGGGTCAGTGAGGGGCTGGTGCTATGAGACTTGGGTGATTGCCACCCTCCTGACCCAGAAATGGAATGAAGGGTAGAAAATGGATGGATGGATGGATGGATGGAGGGTCTGGCCTGTCTCACGTTGGACCTGTCTCTGCCTGTCTTTGCAGCCTGTGGGAATAAGGTGGACCCGGTGTACGAGGCGCTGAGGTTTGGTACTTCTCTGGCGCAGAAGGCCAAGAGGGCGAGCGGCTCCGAGTCCCCGCACCACAACTCGGTAACAACACACATCAGGGATATTCTACAGCAGGGTTTTTGTCATCTGTGGGGGTACATTGTCATTCCTGATTGTGATGGGGGCGGGCAGAGTTAGCAAATAAAAATTGTTTGTTGGAAAAGTAATAAGTAGTATAAGTTATTTTTTATGAAATAAAATCGACAAGTGACACGTTTGTGACACAAAAGCATGTATTTTCTTTAAAAATCCAGCAGATGGCAACAGAAACTACCGTCCCTCAGGTTTTACGGCAGCAATTTTTCTGCTTTTTCTGTCGCGCAACACATGTTATTGAATGGAATTGATTTGATATTGGTGCAAACGTGTAGACACATCTGATCTGGTTTCCCCTACTGGTGAAAAGGTGTACAATGATGGTCGGAGGCTCTGGTGCTTCAGGCGTCTCGCTTCTGTCATCACCGTGTGGAGGAAATGAGGATTACGCCAAATTCTAAAGCGCAAGATAGATACTTACTTGCTTATTAATTGTTCAAATTTTTTTACATGTTTGCAATTTTTTAAAACATTTTTACGCAATTCCTGTTTGCACTATTCCTGTCTTTTGCACAACTTGAGTTATAATTAAATTAAATTTAATGTATTCTTGTTTAGGCCTAAATCACAACCGTACTTATCTCGGAGGACTTTACAAAACCGATACTATCAATGCCAAATGTGACATGTAAATGTCTCCATTGTGAGATCAATAAAGTCTGTCTTATCTTATCTTGAATAAATACAAGAACAAAACATTGAGGTATTATAGCTGTATTTCTTATCTGCTTCTCCTCTAATGCATCTGCACATTTCAAAGTGCGTTAAACAAACCAAATGAGCATAAAAGACATAAGTGAAGGAGTTATCAGACAAATGCTTCAGACTGTTGATTGTCTGGGTGATAAAACAAACTGAAGCAGAGAAATAAACATTACCAATAAAGGATAGTCTTCCAAAGATACTATTCAGATACTGTTCAGTGATCGTAGAACTCCTCTCCTCCTCTCGCCTGAATGAGCATTATGTAAGGTGAGCACTTCCATTATTATCTCTGAGATTGAGCTGTTTGTGGCGTCTGGGCAGAGTCATCACAGGACTGTCCTCTGCAGCTGTTAGTGAAGGGGCGTATGGAGCCGCTTGTAAACAGGCCCAACAGGGGATATGCTAATCGTTCCCAAATGTGCATCTAAAGCAGCGCGTTTGTTCCATGGAGGAGAGGGCGGAATAAGATGATGTGGTGTTTGGGATAAAGACGTTTAACAAACATTTCCTTGTGTGCAGCTGAGTGACTTGGACAATGTCCCAGAGGAGGCAGTGGCGCACGGCAGTAAGCACGAGTTGTGCAGGAAACAGAGTGATGACGGTAAGGGATCATTCCGCTGGTTTAGAAGGGGCATTTGGACTCACAGCTGGTTTACACAGGGCATTTGAACTCACAGCTGGTTTACACTGGGCATTTGGACTCACATTTTGTTTACACAGGGCATTTGGACACACAGTTGATTTAAACAGGGCATTTGGACTCACAGCTGGTTTACACCGGGCATTTGGGCTCACATTTTGTTTACACAGGGCATTTGGACACACAGTTGATTTAAACAGGGCATTTGCACTCACAGTTGGTTTACATAGGGCATTTGGACTCACAGCTGGTTTACAAGGAGTATTTGGACACACAGTTGGTTTATTTATTTAAGAAAGCTTTTAGTTGATTGGGTTCTCACTGATGTCACTTTTAAGTACATAAAATGTGTAATGTGTGTAAGTGTATTTTATATTGTTTGTATTTGCCCACTGTCCTGTACAGCACTTTGTGATTTTTATCTGTGAAAAGCGCTTTATAAATAAACTTTACTTACTTACTTACTTACTTACTTTACACAAGGTATTTGGGCACACAGGCGATGTACAAGGGGCATTTGGACACACAGCTCGTTTACACAAGGCATTTGGACTCACCGCTAGTTTATACAAGGCATTTGGACACACGGTTGGTTTCCACAAGGCATTTGGACTCACAACTGGTTTATACAGGGCATTTGGACACACAGCGGATTTACACAAGGCATTTGGACTCACAACTGGTTTATACAGGGCATTTGGACACACAGTGGATTTACACAAGGCATTTGGGCTCACAACTGGTTTACAAGGGGCATTTGGACTCATTCCTTTTTTATGTAACTTGTGTTTCAATGCTGAAATTTCCACACTGTGAGACAATAATCATAATTTCATTGATATAGCAAATGTTCTCTTTTGTCCTGTTTTAGTTTTCACAGTTCTGGAGAATGGGATAGAACACTACTTTCCACATGTGAGCCAATACGACAACACGCTGGTAAGCCCTCTGCTCTTACTGTTATGAATTAACAGATACTTAGACAAATAATACTCAGACGAATAATCAGGCGTGACACTGGAGGGAGTTAGCGGAGAATCAGAAGTTATGAGGGACAAAACATGCTATTGACTGTGTTGTTAGTATTGTATGTGAAATATATCTACACAATTAATCCAGCCTACAGAGGCTGAAAGTGGCCTACAACGATGCCCTCAGACTGGTACTGAAAAGGCCCAGTTGGAGTTGCGCCTCTGAACTATTTGTGTCTTTTCAAGTGAACACACTACAGGCCAACACTAGTGCAAATAGGATGATTTTATTGTTGACGAGCAGAGCGTAAAGTGATGTTCGTTTTACCTCTGCACTGTGGAAAGACAACTCTTTAGTTGCCTCCGCTAAAAAGGTATGGGGCCTTTTATTGTTTTATGTTGTTTGTTTCTAGTGTGTCTTGTCTATTATTTTTGCTCTGGACTACAAGTCTGTAATATAGCTATCTATCTATCTACATAAAGAAGACAAAGCTCAATTCAAACTCATCCATACGCTGAGATTTTTCCAAGACTGGGATGGAAACAGTCCCTTCCTGTTGTCTGTAACAGATTATATCCAGGCTCACTGATATGGTTTGGCCCTGACCCTGACTTTGGCCCTGGATCGCTGTGTTTCCATGTTGAAAGAAAGGATCGCAAGACTCCCTGCTTTATAAGAATGCACATCCAATTACCAGAACCAGTCTCCTTCTTGGGTGGTTCACCTGAAGCAGACACTATCAATGCACACAGTATACACTACGCTTGTGTTTGAACAGTTTGTCTCCTGTCCGCAAGCACTCTCAACACAAAAATCATCAAATACCCATACAAGGCTGTGTGAGATCTCATTTTGGAACGAGCACAGCTGGAAGTGGGCAGTTTCTCTGTCAGCGAAGGTTCCATTATCTGTGAACGGTGGACGCACAGATGGAGGCTTGGCGGGGTGATCAGCGGAGTGTTATGCTCCAAACAACGGCCCTTACATAAAGAGGCAGAACCAGCCATCTGCTCACAAAACACATGGGGGTTTGGGGGTGGGGGGTCCTGCTGCGGCTCGGTACTTTGAGGAGTGTGATGTCATTTCCGCGGTGGCCTCCTTTGGTGTAATCCATCTTGTTTTCGCATCAGTTTCATCAAACCATTGTGATTGATGCTGCTAATTCAGTTGATATTCACCAGAGGTTTCGGCACACACACTGTGAAGTGATGTAGCTGGGGGCAGTGGATGCAGAACTTTGGCGGCATTTTGGGCCAGATGCTCCTATCATTACACATATCACATCAGATATTATGACTACAGAATGTAATTTTGATATAATCTTGCCGCACAGCAAAAAACTCCAAGATTAGGTTTTCTCATGCTAAATATCCACACCATTAACCATCTCAGAAGCTCAGAGCCAGTGTGGCTGCAGGCTTTAGTTCCAACCACACACTGGAGCAGACCAGACTCCACCTAGTGAGTCCTGCCTTAATCTGGAAACTTAAGGAAGTGGGTGGAGTCTGGTGCGCTCCTGCTTGGTTGGAAATAAAACCTGCAGCCACACTGGCCCTTTGAGGACCGGTTTGACACCCACGGTGACAGTGATGATCTAGGACAGTGGTCATCCCTCTCCCTATGGACCAATAGCTCTTATGTGTTTGTTATGATGGCATTTCCTGTGTTCAAACAGTTTGATTCGCTGATCGATTTTTGGTGAATGGTAAACTTCTTGAAGTCCATGGAGAAGCCCGCTGTTGTTATTTAAGGCTTTACATAGATACTTAAAATTGAACTGAGCTCCTGAATGTTCAATGGACTTTGACAACGTTCTGACAATGATTATTTTAAAAACCTGTTTCTTGTCACAGTAACAAATCTTCTTAATCTAATTTCCAGCTGATGTTGCGTTTTCAGTGTAGACACTCACAACATCACACAACATATACAGTTGTATTATTTATCTGCACACACTCCGGCTGCCCTTGCGGTCCTTTTAGGACCACATGTGTCAAAGTCAAGGCCCACGGGCCAAATCCGGCCCGCGAATTAATTATCTATGGCCCCTGGGACATTGCCTGCCATTGAGGCAATGTTTTGACCCCTTAAGCTCGCTAGCCCCCGCCGGCGGGAGCAAACGAGGAAAAGAATACATCTGCTGGCAATAGCAGCTTATTTTCTCAGCTATATTTATATGTAAGTGTAAACAATATCAGACTTTGCATTAAAAAGATGTAACGCATAATATGGGCACAAAATAAATCACGTCTGTATTCGTTTTTTACCTTTCGTCTTCTGCTGCTCCAACAAATTAGACTTTCCCCATCCTTGCTTAGTCTCTTTCTCTCCGTAACTGTTCATTGAAGAAGAACATCCACTTGTATTTCCCAAAGTATAATCCATTCTGCAGATTTAATCAAAAAACGCCCCAAAAAGAGGTCCAGACGGCTCTTTTACATGTTTTTTTTTTTTCACTATCTTCATGTTCTCAGATGTCTATTACATCTAATATGTACAGTATGAGGATTGGCTTTGGAGCATATTTTATCGAGCCAGCAGGTGTCACCGGCACTGCCTCTGGATGTTGAGAAACATTGAACCAGTCCAGCCCTCGGCGCGTAGCAAACATTTTTTTTTGGCCCTCTGATGTATTTGACTTTGACATGCCTGTTTTAGGAGGTAGTGTTGTTGTGTAAAGCCATCATTCACTCTCTGTGCTGCGAGTTGAATTGTTTCTACACCTCTTTCTAACTTCTTCCACTCCCACAAACCCTGGAAAGTGTGAGAGCGGAGATCTCACGGTTCCACTGTGTCATCGCGCATAAAAAGAAGATTGAATGTGACAGTAAACAAGATTTTATGGTTTACGTAATGATCAGAGTATACCGTAAATGTGTCTAGTTGTAGAAAGAGTTCTTGTTTTGTAACTAATTTGGTAGTTCTGAAAAGAAAAGGTTTTCCTGTAGACTGAACCACATCACTGAACACCTTTCAAATTATTGTGGGTTAGATTGTTTCCTTTGCTACTTAGAAAATAGACTTTAGGCTGAGGTTGTCAACATGGCCATTCTGAATGTATTGACTGGTTTGATCATTAACTTTTCTGTTTGTGTTTGTGTTTAGCTGGAGCCCACGCAGCTCCACAGATTGAAGTTGGACACATACGTGGCCTTGTACAGTTACACCGCTCAGGAGACCCACGACCTGGACGTCCAGTGAGTGCAGTTACACATTACAACTGAAGGGGATTCGTGTCACTATTGTTTCATTTTGCCGTTGAATTTCTTTGGGACTACAGCTCAAAAAATCTCGGGGCTGTATTTAACACTAACAAAGCCAAGGATCTCTATATAATCTCATCCAGGTATCTCAGACCTGGCTCCCACTATCACACACAATGAAAGTCTAGAATGAGATTATCAGGAACAATGCAGAAAAAGTCCTTTAGAACTAAACCAGTAAAACTCCACATGCAGTTTTACTTATTACAGGAAATACCAGAAATATATCTTCAGATTCATATTTATCTCCCAAAGCAAACATTAGAAAAGGACAACCATTTATTTTTGTATAGCCTTAATCACAACAGCAGGTATAGACACATCTGTATAATCACTCAATGTTGTTCAGAGAGTTTTTAAACCTGTTGCTCTTTACACTTGGGAATCCAGTATCTCCTCCCAGAATGCATCAGTTTGTATTGAGAGTGGACATGAGTTGGATTTCTGATGTTCCGAGTCTGTCTCTCTGCTGGCTGCTCAGAAATAGTCGGTCGGGAGAATGGACTCAGGATTTTACCAGCTAGTTTGTTTATAATTTACAGTGAGATTCCTAAACAAGCTCACCATTCCAGACCTTGGCACCAACTTCAAGGCTCGCCCTGTAAGAAATATTTATAATGAACTGAATCTAGTTTATTAATGTTTATGATAGAGCAGCATTTTTGCGATGGACACTTGGTGGCTCTATATAACATAATGAGTCCTTATTAACCAAAAGGCACTTGTGTGTGTGTGTCTGTGTGTGTGTGCGCCAGGTAAGCTAATAGTTTTATGGCCAATTTTATTTCTGCCAAAACAGGAGATAGTGAAGCAGGGTTAATGATCTAAGCAACCAAACTAACACCGGACAGCAGTATTATATTCTTAGCACAAAGTTAGTGGTTGGAGAGTCCTGCGTTTAACCCTTGACCTGCCACAATGATTAAAAAATACCTTAAAAAAACGTTCCATATGAATTTCAATGACTTCTTATACATTTTTTTGATCCAAGGGTAGCATAATGGTTCAAACAGAACTGTTCCACTTGCAGCCAATTCTAGGCCTAAAAATAATAAGAAAGAAGAACATTTTTCCTTAGATTGGGCTTGATTTCAAATGGAATGGCTTTTGCGTTTCTTTGTTGGGGGCGGTGTGGTTTAGGGATGTCAGGGATATCTTTCTAAAAATAGTTTATAGTTTCTATTGAATAATGAATGATGTTTAAATTTCAGCAATGGTATGTAGAGATTGCTGTAATGGGATATGTAATTGGTGTGTAACTAATCAACGCATAGAATAATACTTCAAATAATTCTATTCAATTTAATTAAATTTTGTTTAGCCCTAAATCACAACTGTAGTTACAGCATCTCGAAACCGTTGATTTGCCAACACAGATCAGAGAATCCAACTGTTCAAACACAATAAATGCAACAATCAAAAACACATAGAGCCATAGGTCCATAAGGGGCAGATGACCAATGTCCATAAATGTTAGATAAAAAAAATACATTTATACACGTACGTTTAATTTTTGAGATCCAATAAGTTATGCAACGGACAGACAGTCTTGTATTAACTTGACATAATAGTTTTGAAGTGGACCAAGCAGAAGGTTTAGGAGGTCTTTGTTGCATTACGGAGAGAATAGGCTGCCGTTGGAGAGTCACTTATAAAACCCTCTTTATTAGACTCTATGTGTCCTTGATAATGTACTTAAGTGGTCAAAGTATAAGCACAGGCAGTTCTCTGCTGAGCATCACGCCAGAATACAAAGATCTAATTAGTTTCTGTTTCAGGCGCGAGTCCTTGTAGATCCATTCTCTGGAGTGGCCTCTTTAAAAGCACCTGTGACAATCTATTAATATCACTCAATCTGGGCTTTGAAAGAGGAGGGCACAAAAGATCCACGATTTACACGTTGATAAAGCTCACACTGCACAATGGAAACATCACCGTGCGATCCGGGTTGCTTGAATATATGCTAGTGCACTTAAAGCTGGGGTATCTGACTTTTTTGTTCATTCATAATATATAACAGGAAATTAACCAGCCAGAAATACATGCATGTGAGAGAGCAAAACTGTTTGGAGTGTGAGGAACTAGCCACATGGATTTGGGTTTTATAGTTCCTACCGCTAAAAACATGTACAATAGTCCCCCATAACACCCTACCTGATCTCACCCCTCCCCCCTCTCTCTCCCTCTGGGCCTAGGTATCCGGAAAAGGTATTCAGGAATCTCATGGTGCAAGTCCTCCCACTGAAAAAGATGAGAGAGTCTGTAATTCCCATCATAGGTTTACCTCAACTATCAGAGACAACATGAGAAAAAAAATCTGGAAAGGCATGTTGTCAGATATTTAAAGAATTTATTTGGGTAGTAGTAGTGAGCATCTTTTTTTGACTGAATTCTTTATTTTCAGCCACATTTTTTTAAATCAAAATGTGAAATTAAATTAAAATGGGGGCGACAGTAGCTCAGTTGGTCTTTGGGCCTGGAGGTTGTGGGTTTGAGCCCACCATGGGACCTACACCTGCTCCCACAAATGTCTACTGTTGTTGTGTCCTTGGGCAAGACACTTATCCCCATGTTGCCTGAAGCCCCCGCTGAAAGACTAAGGCTGTGTCACCGCTGACAAAACAGCCATCTTCCTATGGACCCACCACCTGCAGAGGATCAGAGGGACTGGTGCTATGAGCATTGGGTGGCAGCTCTCATTGCCACCCCCCAACCCAGAAATGAACTAGTAAAGGGGTTGAAAATGAATGGATGAATGAATGAAATTAAAATGCAATAACACTTTATTTTGCTGGTGGGGAACTTTGTCCTCTGTATTTGACCCGTTCTGAAATGCCATTCGGGTGTCTGTCAGGAGCAGTGGTAGCAGTAGTACAGCGCCCAGGCATCCATCTTGGTGGAATTTACCTATGGTTCTTGTGTTTAGTGGTAGGGGAAACCGGAGCACCCAGAGGAAACCGGATCTCCCAGAGGAAACTTACGCAGACATGGGGAGAACATGCAAACTCCACTCAGAAACACCCTGTTCCGACTGCGACTCAAACCCAGGACCTTCTTGCGGAGAATTGGGAGTTCCTAAATTTTTCCAGATTTTGATTTGTTCAGGATTGGTTGTTTTCTTTTTCTTTTTTTTCTCATAGTTGTGTTTTATTTATGATGAAAATTACAGGCATCTCTCATCTGAATTATTGAGAGGACTCGCACAATTGGTGGCTGACTTAATACTTTTTTCTCCACTGCACATAGTCAAAGTGTCAAATTGAACTTCTGTATCCTGTTTGTTTAATATAATGCTTTATGAAAAATATAGGTTTGAGAAAAAAAAAATACTTAAAAAAGCATTAAATAAATCTCTGTTTCTATGTTTCAGAGCTGGGGACAGAATTCTATTGGCTGACGACTCAAATGGCGACTGGTGGAAAGTAAGTACTCTGAAATCTATAGCAGCATGTTAGTATATACTGTAGTGAAATGTCATCACACCAAAGTACCTCAAGTTAGCGATGCACAGATTTTTTCCCTAGGAGCAAAAAAGACAACACAAATTGTCTGCGTATCACAAATGCAGAAAAAGTAGGTGTTTTGCAGCGGTCAGAAGGTGTGTAAGGGTCTAATTACTCAAACCACATTTCTGCCCAATAGTCAAATAGTGACTTACATGTATGCAAAATGAATCACGTTTTTTTATTAAGATGAAGAAGCATGAACTGATATCATTATACTTTTATTCAAACTTCTGTTAAGAATCTATGAAACATTTGATTTCTTATCGGGCCTGACAAAACTGTGTTAGAGAAGCAACAACATGAAGGAGCAGCCATCATCGAGAGCTTGTCTTTGTTTGTTTCTGTCTTGATTTCACTCGGACAAAAGCCTTTGTTGATGTCGAATATTTTTCATTCAAACTTGCAGATTTCAAATATTTTATTGTTTTTTTTATCATGGCAACAAAATGACCAGCCATGGAAGACTGACAGTTGTGTGATTGTTTCAGGGGGTAATCGAGGACAGAATGGGCTATTTCCCAGCAGGCTTTGCTCACCAGGTGCGGGGCGGAGACCAGGTGTACCGGTGTAACAGGACGTTCATCGGCTGTAAAGAGCAAGGCCAGATCACTCTGAAGGAAGGACAGGTATTCACTTCTACTACAGACCTCGTGCTAAGCCCTCAGTCCCGGTGACAGGGTCTGACTTTTTCACTAAAAGTCTTCAAATTTGTGAAGTGGTCTGCTACTGCCTTGTGATTACACACTTAGAACGTCTCAAAATAGTAATCCTGATATCTGTTTTGTCCAAATGCTAACTGCTATAAGCTAGTGGAAGTATCTGAAAATATCTAAACATTTCTTTTAATATAAAATTAGACCCCAATAACATTTAATCTGCATTTAATTAAAAAAAACACTCCACTGTATTACTCCATGTCTCCAAAAATAGTCCTAGTTCCGTTACACTATAGCGCCCTCTGTGTAAAATACTATTACTTCTTCTTCTTAGTAGATCCAAACCAGAGCTTTGATAGTTTTACTTACTACATGTTTTATGAGAGTTATTTCCTCCCGTCATTGTTTGCGATGTCTGATCTTGGCCGTGTTTGAATGACAGAACTATTTTATCATTTCCAGTGCGGTCATGTTGGCTGTGCTTGTGCCAAATGACTGGATTCCCACAGTCTGCCCCGGGGCACGTGAGGATACGCAGAACTCTCCAGTGAAGATGAGAGCACACACACGAGCATTTGGCTAAAAGCAGCTTGTGTTTCCAGTGGTTTGGTCTTTGGGGACCGGTCTAACTTTTCAATGATTAGTTAATGGAAAATAGACAGTTGAAGCGAAACAGGAAGTCTATCATCTCCTCCTGCTTCACCCTGACATCAGACTGTCAAGGTCCTCTGTCCAATTCCTCTGTCCAAGTCCTGTCAAAAAACAGAAATGGCCTTTTAAACACAGAGTACAGTATTATCTGGACTATTAGGCGCACCTGCATATGAGGAAAGTTGCTTTGGCTCTCTGTGCAAATAAGTTATGAAGTAAAAATAGAGTACGGCATGCATACAAAATTTTAAATAAAAACTTTCAACCGGATACAAGATAGTGGTGATTTAATGCACTGATGACTTGTTATAGACAAAACTTGTAGAAATAAAAAAAAAAGAACTCCGGAGTATTTGGAGGAAATCCACCCAGCCAAAGGCGCGAACCCACCCAGACATAGGGAGAACCATGTATATCCACACAGAAAGACTGGTCCAGCCTGGGGAGACATGTTGGATCTCAGCCCTGGCCTGAAATGAACAATTACTGGTTTTCTGTAATTATAGTGACTACTCATGACAATTTTCCTCGGAGTGAAACTGGGCGTTCCTCTGCATCAAATCAATACATCTGTAGTGTTCGACCATTTCACAAAAGAAAACTTGTTTTTATTTCTTATAGACCAAAATCACAACAGTACTCATCTCGGAGGACCAAAACCGTTTGTGCTCAGCCTCTGTCTCATTCTTTCAGATCTGTGTGAGCAGTGAAGAGGAGCACAGCGGCTTCCTGCGAGTGGAGAGCGGCAAAAAGAGAGGCTACGTCCCGTGTGACGTCCTGGACATGATCTGAGAAGTGACCTCTGCTCTGACCACATGACCTGACACTCCTGCTGCTGCGGCGCACTGACCACATGACCTGACACTCCTGCTGCTGCGGCGCACTGACCACATGACCTGACACTCCTGCTGCTGCGGCGCACTGACTACATGACCTGACACTCCTGCTGCTGCGGCGCACTGACCACATGACCTGACACTCCTGCTTCTGCGGCGCACTGACCACATGACCTGACACTCCTGCTGCTGCGGCGCACTGACCACATGACCTGACACTCCTGCTGCTGCGGCGCACTGACCACATGACCTGACACTCCTGCTGCTGCGGCGCACTGACCACATGACCTGACACTATACTGCTGCTAGTTCTGAGGGTGAAGATTTGACTGATAAAGATTTAACACACATTAGAGCTTATGGATCTGGAAGTAAAAGTCATCTATAAAAATCACAATATATAGTTGGGGTGCGATGAATTGTTCAGCCCTATAAATAATGTTTTCTAAAGTTAGGTCGACTTGAATAACTCACTGATGGTTCAAAGTGTTCTGTTGTTGGTGTGGAGACACATCTGAGACGGCTGCAGTTGTGTTTCCTTCAGTCGGACTGTGATCGCAAGTGCATTGTACAGAAAACTGCATTCGTAACTGTGTTTATAGCATATTGTACAGAGAGACAATACTGACCTGCACTGAGCATTATGTCAATACTTGTAAATATGTATAAGAATAAAACGTTTCTTTGTTACAGTATTGTTGTGTGCTGTGTTCTAGAACTTATTTATTTATTGTTTTCTGTATCGACCTAACTATTGTAAGCTGCGATTTTCAATGAAATAATAGCTCCTCCTACTGGGCGAATAACTACAACAATGGACATGGAGTTGAAATATGTTGTAAGCGCATCTTTTGAATCGGTGCAAACCGCTTTGGCCTGCGACAAAAACTTTTTTGGTCAAACTTCACTTGAGGATTTCTTCCACCAGAAACATCACTGCTGACCAGTGACACACAGACCGCTCCTGACCACCTGCTGACCCTCTTCTGTTCGGACTGTGACACTGTGTTGACCACAAAACGTGAGCTTTCCACTTTCCTGTTCAGTTCCTATGGGTTTGGCCCGTGTTACTCAGACACACAGTCACTTGGATCAAAGTTAAAGTAGGTTTATGTAAGTTTAGACAAAGGAGTATAAGTGCTCTAGTAGTTGTAGGTGCTCTCTGTCAGCTGAGGTCAAACTATTTTAGCTTACATTGAGTTCTATGGGGAAAATTTCTGGGTTGCCCTCGTGAATTTAGGTTTGTTTAGTCTGCAGTACCACAAGAATCCCCCGAGCACGTGGGTCCTTCAGCTCCAAGCTAGTAATACCCTATCCAGAAACACACGCACAGGCTGAGGCTGCTCTCACGTCAATGCATAGTCAGTTTTGTCGAAAGTTACATGTTGACTTGACCGTCCTCCCTGAGACCTGGTCCTCCGTGCGCCCTGGTCCTTTGTGCACCCTGGTCCTTCGTGCACCCTGTTTTGCTTTCAATGTCCCATTCCTTGTTCTTAATTCTCCGGCTTACGCTTCCTATATCCCGCTATTTCTTCCTGTTTCTCCGTTTTCCTTGCCCTCTTGTTTCAGTCACGGTCTGGTGTTTAAAGGGGCCAGACTACTACTTACTACTACTAACTAATCCGAGGGCCATTAGATGCCGCTTGCGGCTTTCATTATTATTGCTTTGAAACACAGTATTAATTCCGCTATCTCCATTCATTATTTATATGCCGTTGACACCGTCAAGAGAAAAATCAAGATTAGGATTAAGCTCTTTTATTCATCCCTGCACTGTGGGGAAATCTCGTGTTGCCTCCAAGGTCACAGAACAGTAGGAATTGTGAGCAGAGATCACAGTGTGTAGAAACCAATTTGAATGCTCAGTAGAGTTTGTAAATGACGCTAGTTCACCTCAGGGAGGCGCTGTTAGCTATGGGAAAGCCTCTTCCAAGCGCCTCTTGTATTCTCCTCACTTATATATTATGTATGTATATATAAGATTCGCCGGGACAGCCGGGGCGTCTTAAAAAATATTTTTACAGACATAATATGCATACGATGGACATCTTTGTTTTGCTGCACGTAAAATGTATTCTTTTCACCCCGTTTCTTATTGGATTTCATTTTTATATCAAAAACACGCTCAGCGCACGTGCCTCTTGTTGTCAGGTGCGCGTTGCTAAGGGCATCAGTTTCTAAGGGCATCTTTTAAAACACCGGTGCAAACCGGTGAAAACCGGTTTGGCTGCATCACAAACTTTTTTGGTCAAACTTCACTCGAGGATTTCTTCCACCAGGAAACATCACTGCTGACCAGTGACACACAGACCGCTCCTGACCACCTACCGACCACCTGCTGACCCTCTTCTGTTCGGACTATGTGACACTGTGTTGACCACAAAACGTGAGCTTTCCACTTTCCTGTTCAGTCCCTATGGGGTTGGCCCGTGTTACTCAGACACACAGTCACTAAAGTTAAAGTAGGTTTATGTAAGTTAAGACAAAGGAGTATAAGTGCTCTTGTGCCGTCAGCTCCTGCACACGTAAAAGGATTATGTATAAACTATTATAGCTAATAATAGATCAAATTGCTAAAGTTTCATGAAACCACAGCCCCGCTGCTGGAACAGACCATTAAAACTGCACACTCATTTAAAGCTGGGGTACGTCACTTTCAAAACACAAAATAGATAGATGCTTTATTGATCCCCCGTGGGAGAATTCAGGTGTCCAGCAGCAGCAGACTCATCCTGGTCTGTTGTACAGTCTGACAACTGAAGGAAGATAAGATAAGATGAGATAGACTTAATTGATCTCACACTGGAGACATTTACATGTCACATTTGGCATAGATAAAATCATTCAGATTGTGCAAAAGACAAAAGTGTGCAACAGAGTCCAGGGAGCAGGCACAGAGCCTGAGAAGGTGGAGGTGTTTGGCCCTTCTTGTACAGGGCGTTGGTGTTATGGGACCAGTCCAGTTTATTGTTAATGTGAACACCCAGGTACTTGAAGCTGTCCACCAGCTCAATGTCCTCCCCCTGGATGTTCAGCAGCGTGTGGGAAAGTGGTTTTCTCCTAAAGTCGATTTGTGCCACTTGTGCTTGAGCACTTACTGGTGCTCAAGCACAAGTGGTTGTGCTCCCACCAGTAGACAAAGTCCATGATAACTGACCGGTATTCCAGTTCTTTCCCCTCAGACACACAGCCCATGATGGCAGAGTGGTCGGAGAACTTCTGCAGTGTGTGTCGTATGTGAACTATACTGAGTCTGAAGTAGAGGTGCAGGATTTATGGGTGTTGCAGTGGAGAGAGTTCATGGAGTGGAGGGGTGGTAAATGCAATCACTTCTCAGCAAGAAGGTCCTGGTTCAAATCCTGGTCTGAACAGGGCCTTTCTGAGTGGAGTTTGGATGTTTTCACTGTGTCTGTGTAGGTTTTCTCCGCATACTCTGGTATACCACTAAAATCATGTGCAATATGCAAAAATCCTTCAGCTCTGGACCTGACCTACCCAAGCACCAACATCTGGAGATGGGGTGACCACTGCTCCTGGACTCTAGTAATGGACAGAAGACTAAAACCTCAGTTTTGTCCTCCTGGTTAAGCTGGAGAAAGGTTTCTTCCATCTAGGATTTCAGGTCTAAAATGCAGTTAAAAAGAGCATCCAAATGTGTATACAGTATATAGATATTAGGGCTGTCAAACGATTAATTTTTTAATTAATCGTAATTAATCACATTTCAAACTATTGGCAAAATTATGCCATATTTTTCTGTAAAAATATGCAGCTCCTCATGCAGAGTTCATACAGGAAACAACAAGTGCCCCACGGTCACGCGTGTATTCTTTCAAAACTTGAATTCCCAGAGGGCCTACCTGCTCTGTCCCCATCTTACACACGCATGTGTCCGCGGCATTCTGTGTTATTATGGGACGCATGGGCATGCGTCAAATGCGGTTTTTTTTAAACGCGATTAATGACAAAAATTAATTAAGTTGCGTTAACGCGATAATTTTGACAGCCCTAATAGATATATATAAAAATGTGTATACAGTGTATAAATATGTGTGTATATATATTTATGTATAAGTGCTTTTGTTATACGTGTGTTAAATATGTGTGATAAATTGGTGCTGAGTAAGCTCTGATAATGTGGTGTAAAAGTCTAACTTTACTATTCACAGTATTATTTTAACATTGATATATCTGACTTACACCTTTTCTGACTATTATTTACAATAACACAGTGTTCCTAAGATTAGATTCCATGATTGAGTTTGTCCATTTTAGTGACCTTATTTTGTCCATTATCACCAAAAGTATGTTTTCTCTTTTAGGATCAACCAATCACAGCGTCTGAAATGATGACTCATACTTAGCAATTGGGGTCGGCCACGCCTCCTCACTAAGGTAAAATGTGTTGTCCATTCCTTGCTCAGAGTTCTCTAAGAGTGTTCTGGAATAACTTTTAAGCTAAGACACCTAGCTAGGAGTTTTTCGGTTAAGTTAGGAGCTCTCTGAGAGGACTCTCAGAATCTTTAGGAATACGGTCCCTGCTCTGTTGGGCAGGTGTTCTGTCAAGCTGTGCACCCTTGTCGAGATTTGCACCCTGTGTGGAATTTGACAGCGCCGCCTATTGAGCCGAGCACCCCTTGTCGAAATATGCATTCCCACCCGCCAAAAGCAACTTTCCATAGTTATTATGAATGTTTACTTAATAAAAATGCCGACTTATTTATGATTTATTACATTTAATAAAAGGTAGCATATTCGTTTAATGTACTGAATACTAGTGGTGCACTCGAAATTTGAAAGAGAACACGCTATCCCCACTTTATGAACCAATATTTTGATCTTTTAAACGTAGAGCAAGTAGCATAGAATACTTTTATGTTATATATTATATACATGCATATTACATTTTCATTATCTTACTGCACAATTGTACTTAAACAGAATAATGATCAATGT